AGGCTAAAACCAGCCACCCAAAATGTAAGTGCAATATTCTGGCGCTTTTCTTTCTGTCTCTCTCTCTATCCTACCACAAATTATTCTGAGCGCAAACGTTACACATCAGTGTGAGCTCCAGCCACATATTCTGCATCATGATCCTTAAACAAACCGGCACATTAGCAGTTCATTACTGCTTGGAGCAGGAGCCCAGCTCTTGTTAAGTTAGCCACACTTGAAAAGTAAGAGGGCATACGGTTTTGTCAAACAAGCTGAAGAGAGAATAAATGAAGCTCCACTTTTCTCTCACAGTGAGGAGCCTCTCCCGCCAAGTTTGGAAAGGATTCAAGCAGTTGCTGTAACAGGGGGCTCAGTTGTGGACGTCTAAGAGGGGAAGAAACCTCTTAGAGTGGGCTTATCATTAAGTAAATGGTTAATGTGGACTAGGATGTTATGGACAGAGTTACACTTCTTAAAGAACAGTGTTCCAGTTCTTAAAGAACAGTGACAGACATTGCATCACCTGGGAAATGATCAGTCTATCACTCGAGTCATACCTCTGATGACAATAAATACTATGGATGAGCCCATATACCCCTTCCTTTGACCTGCATCCCACTAATTCAGTAAAGCAATGTTTCTGAGCACACAGCAGTTCAGAAAGAGAGACGAAAGAGAGAGCCTATATCACCATGTGGGCATTGTGTAGAAACACTGCCAAGCAATGTAAACGTAAATATTATCGGATGCATTTCAAAACCTAATACTAATTCATGTGTCAGATTTTCTGAGACGACAAAATATGTGATCAGACAGTCACACCCAGTAACAAGCAAGAGAAATCTGCAATTCAGACTTTTATTGCTTTCTTTCCCTTCCAATTTTCTACTCTCTTTCAAAGACACTGTCTTGTGCTAGGGTGAAAGTCAAAACAGTGAGTACAGTCAGACTGTGGACAGGAGTGTAAGGAGTGGGAGACAGAATTCAGTCTAATCTGATATCTACAAACATTCAATTCCCAACAGGTTACGAAGTAACAAGAAATTGATCAGAAACGGGAATTATGACTGATATTGCACCAGGATGATAATGTCAGCTATAGTGACCCCAACCCCCCCACACATCATCAAAATCAGTGAACTCAGCACAGGACAATATCTACGACAATATCTGAAAGCTTTATAGCTTTGTTTAATTCAGAAGTAGAAACTAATGCTTGATTAAAGACAGTGTTGTGTGCACACACACACAGTACAACACAAGAAAGCGAGAATAACCCATGGCCCAAAGAGAATGAAACGAAAGCCTTAAAACAACAGACACATCCAGCAAATGCAGGTCAAAGCTCTCCAGAGATCACCATCACTAAAATTCCTTACATATCCAAAGCCCTGTCGGAGGAACTCTGTAAAAAGTCTCTCCGAGTCTCCGATCCCCTTACTACCACCTGGATCGGTAAGGAGGTGTTTTTTTTAACCTTATACAGACAAGTAAATGGATACACCAAAAATAGCCTGCTAAAACCCTCCCCACGGAAAGGGGTCAGGAAGAAGCAACCACAGCACACGTGTCACAAAGAGGCACAGCATGTGTCGTAAGCCGTCGGCTGCTCAAGAGTATGGCAACAGGGTGGTGCGGTGATGTGCCCTCAGCCGTAAATAATCACTGAGAGGCAAATGTTTATCTAACTTGCATGGCAGAAAGGGTAGTTGGGAGGGGGTGAGGAGGGGGAGGAAAGGGGAGAGATTGAATAGAAGACGACGTGCCAGTTCTGAAACAGTTGCCAGCAACCATATCCCTTCCCTGACTTTACAATGAGGAATGGTATCAGTGACACAGCAGACCATAAATATTTAACATGATGTTTGCTTTGGCAACACTGGGAGCTGAAAATAAAGCTATCCATGCAATTCCACAAAAAGTGCAGCTCACCCCCAGCATATGAAGAGACAGATCTTTTATTGCAGGGAAGGATAAACCGCTCACAGCTGTTAAAAGACCTGTCAAAGACTCTTCCACACAACCTCCAGCAAAGCCCAACAGAGTCTTGACTTCATTAGTCAAAAGCAATTAGCACTTTGAGCTACATCCTAATTATTTTATTGAGTACAACTGGAATGTGATAAGGGTGGACTGATGCCAGTTTTTGTTGCTCAGTGCAGGCACTGAGCCAAACCTCACAGCTCAATACACCCTCAGATGGCAGTTCAGTACAAGGAAAGCCACTCGTGCTGCCCAGAAGTGACAGTGTTACAATGCTTTGCTTTTGGTTTAATCCGGCTACAGAAAGGGAAGTTTCTGCATCCCCTTGTTTTTTTAAAAAAAAACATTTGGGCACTTATTTATATCATGGTCTGGATACTCTTATTGTTATATGATGGGTTTCCACATGTGTCAAACACCAGCCTGCATAAAAACATTTTATGTCACTGTCTCAGTGCTTCACAAGTTAACTTACTTTGAAGTCTACAGACTACAGTCATATAGGAAATTATGGTAGCTAGTTTGTGCCACCAACATCTCAAACAGTCTTGTGATGAACAACGGTTTCATTTTTGGACAGGGGGAGGGATGGCAGAGGAGAAAGCGTTGGGTGAATTTGGTTCAGAAAAGAATAATGCAGAGCACACAGAGAACATTTCTTGTTCTTCTTTAAACTCGTGCTACCTGAATAAACGGAGAGCTTAATGTCTCATCTGAAATTTGGTACCTCAACAATACAATACTTCCCCGCAACTGTATTGAAGCCTCGGCCTAGATTATGAGCTTCATTTCCAAAGAGATAATATCGATCTCCAAACTAAAATGGAAGTGAATGTCAGCTCCACCAATTTGCTGTGACTAAAATGACAACTCTGTAACATGGCCACTGTCCTGCCTGAATAAAATTTAGTGCAAAATGGGAAAACATACATGCTCAAATCATTGATCAACACGGCATCAATCAATGTGACTCTAATTTATGGCAAATTGAGTTAAAGTTTAGAATAAAGAGGTCTGTGTGGTGCATTGAGTATGGCCATTATCCTATTACTGATTGAACCAGAGTGCAAATCAGTCTCGATTGGGTGAAAGTTTTTTTTCTAGGCGTCAGCCTGGCTCAGTTGGTAGCTTTCTCACCTCTGGTCAGAAGATTGTGTGTTGCAACCCCACCTCAGGAGCTTCGTTTGAGCTTAGTTCAGCCACACGAATGTGACACAGTGCCTGGGAAGCACGGCAATGCCAGAAATGTTATTTTAAGAAAAGTTAAACTGAGGTCCAGCCTGCTGGTTCAGGTGAATGTTAAAAATCCTATGGCACAATTTGAAGAGAGATTTCTATTGATAGCCTGGCTGAAATTCTACCAGATAAAAAAGTCATTACTTGATGGCTGATTGTGGGACATTGCTGTGTACAAATTAAATACAGGTATTCAGTCAATATTTCACAGTAAAATCCTATGAAGCATTTTCTGATGTGTCAACAATGTGGTAAAGTGCTACAACAAATATAAGAATTATTAGTGTAATTTTTATCTGGAGATTGGGAAAAAGAACCACTTTACCCTACTAGTTTCTACCTGAGACAAATTAGTGGTCTAAAAGCAGTATAACACAAAGTTCCTGCATGCAACTCAGTGCAACACCCTACCCGGGGGTGCGGTGTGTAACAAGGGAAATTGTTCCATTCTCCAGCAGGGTCATGTCATAAAAATCAAACTGAAAATATGGGATACCACCAAGAGGTTATCTTAATAATATTAATTCTTGCATTTGATATAGTGCCTCACATCTCCTTGAGGTGTCTCAAAGTCCTTCACAGAATATACTTTTTTGCCATAAAATATACAGTGTTTTTACAGTATATCCTGTGAAACATGTTTGAGATGTCTCGAAGGTGTAATAAGGTGCTATATCAAACACAAGGATTATTATTATTTACTATATTTTGTGGGCGAAATGTGGCAGCCAATTACACATAGCAATGACCCACAAACAGCCATGGATTGATTGACCAAATTGTTGTTATATCCATAACATTTTCCCCATCTTTGAAAGCACAGCAGTAATACATTCTTGCAGGACATTTAAAAAAGTTTATAGGATTTGCTGTACGTAATACAGGTCAGAAGAGACAAGGAACCCAACAATTGATACAGTGAACATTTCAAAAGAGTGATATCTACCTGATCTATGTATTAGACTCTTTGGGTTACATATAAAAGCACATTATGGAGGTTTGCTCCCCCCAGTAAGCTGTATACTGTCTCTCGGGAAACAAACAATACATATTAAATGAGTGACTACAGCAGTTAGAGCATAATGATGGAATACTGTTTTCACAGTTATCACTATCACAATCCCAAACACTAAGTAAAACACCTTTAATGTGTTGGATTGTCAGAATTTACAGTTCAGAAACATCCGTTTCATATCCGCTTAAACCCACATTTTTTTCTCTTTGAAAAAAAGCAGAGTTTTTGCCATAAACTGCCCTCATACTTCATGGTATTGCTGAATATATATCTCAAATGCTCTCAGTTGAAATAAGTTACAGTAAAAGAGGATATGAAATACAACGACAGCATTATATGTGTGTGTGTGTGTATGTGTAGCACCTTTCACGTCAGGAGGTCGTCTCAAAGCACTTGACTGAACCGAATACAATATCTTTTTAGAAGTTTTCTCCTGATTCACATAAGTTGGCGTTTCGTTCTGAATAAAACCAGTTAGATGTGCCTCACTCTCTCCTCCTCCTCCTCAGCAGCTTCACCTTCAGGTGAGGATCCTTCGCGCAAAAAAAAAATTCTTTCATCTATGGTGAGTAGTTTGCGAAGTGCGGGCTCTGGAGTGTGCGATACAGGTGCAGGGGGGGCACTGGGAGGCAGAGACCCCACTCATCCCTCTCACTCTCTGTTTGATGTCCCCAACTCAATACTGAACCCAGTAAAGCACCCAGTGATCGCTTGTAGGGCTTGAGGTGTGCAAACACCAACTAACTTATTGGAACTTAACTTACTCACCAGTCAAGGAAGGGGTTGGGGTTGGGGTTGACTTCTTCCACTGCTGTCTTCTTCGTACCAACGTCTTTCTTTCTCTCTCTCTCTCTCTGTCAAGGTTTAAAAACAACCCAATTGAATTTTCACGTCGGAGTCCAAACGAAGCCTCTCTCTGCGAAACAACCGGTGAAGGGTCTCTAATAATAAAAGTCCTGCAATTAAATCTTGCTTTAGATTACAGACTTGTGCTGCGATTAGTTATTTTCCCTGAAACGCTTTGCCCGTCTCTCCTCTCTGCCTGTAATAACCAGTCGCAGTAAATGACTCGAATTAACAGCTGATCCCCAAATTGGAAAGTTTCAAAAATTCTCTCTTTTCAAGTTTAACCTTTGATTTTTTTTCCCCCCCTTTTCCTTTCTTTAAACCAAAAAAAAAGTTTCTATTATTTGCCCTGGTGTGTGTGTGTGTGTATATATATATATATATATATATATGCACACGTCTGGATGTAACAACTACATTTTCGAGTCAATAAATTGCACGTTGTTACTATTTGGCGTTTCTGGAGAAATAAAAGCGAAAAGGTGCAATTGGATCGGTTTGGGTTACACACACACTCACCGGGGCCTCTTGTTGTTTTGTACACTCCCCCCCCCCCACCCCCTCCCCTCCCCTCCTTTGCTCTCCCTCTCGCTTTTGTTTTCTCACGGCCAGGTATCCCCCGCCAGAGCCAAACCCCCCCCATTCACCCAACGAAACCCAGTGCGCGACGGGGGTGCGGGGTCACCCGCTCTGCTTTGCTCGGAATAAATCTGTGTTCCCGGATTCACTCACCGCTCTGAACAGCAGCGAAACTCGTGTGAGAAACACAGACCCACCTCTTGCCACGGGATGACAACGAACTGACCTTTTTTTTTTTAACTGATTCACCTTTTTTTCTTGCAAAGATTTGCCGGTGGCTGGTAACGATTGCAAAACCCAACAGCTATTTAAATCCCCCCCCCCACACCCCCAATAAATGACACCAGCCTCATCTCCAGGTTCCTACCTGCGATCTCGCCCAGGAGTCAGGAGTTGTGATCGCTTCAGAGTTTAACCTGTGTGGGGGGGACCCGCTCTCCCTCTAACAGCCACTCATATCATTCAGACCTGAGGAAATACAACATTTGCATGAAGCACGAATCTCATTAGGTAGGAAAAGGTACAGTTAAAGCCCCTCCGCTCGCATCGATCACCGCGGCAGCCCCACTGGCAGCGGCGCGGCTCACTGGCGCTATTCCATGTGTCCCAGTGCTATTCCATGGAATCGTACCTGTTGCAGGTTGGATGGAAATCGCTCATCACCTCCCAGGTTAGGGCGCTCCCACACGATGGGGTTTTTTTTAAAAAAAGGGGAAGGAAAATACACTGATCAGCTCAGACCTGGATCAGAAATTTGTGTGTGTGTGTGTGTGTGGGGGGGGGGGGGGGGGGACCTGGATCGATCACCAGTGTAGCTCCTGTATCCGGTCAGGTTATTCCTACAGCATTGCTGTCTGTCACTAACCGGTCTGTCTGTACATTGGCAAAGTCAGTCACCGCCAACTAACTTCTCCTCCAACTTCTCACCTCCCACACGTGATTCGCAGCTTCCGCCAAACACACTCCCTCTCTCTCTCTCTCTCACACACACACACACACACAAATACTTTCACTTCTATTTTAAAATCCTTTATACAGGACATTCACTCACTCACTCACTGCCAAATTGACAATCTATGAGTCAGCGCATCCGCCTTTGAGCAACATCACTCACTTTCTGCAATCCCAGGTTTTTATTATATGGGAAGATATTATTATTAATAGTAACATTGGTGACCAGTGCACCTGGTCACACACAGCCTCTCCGATCACATTTTGCATCGGTTTGTAAAGCACTTTTATTTTGTAACCAAAAAAATGAGGTCAGCTTCTAATTTCACTTTATTTTATTTGTCTCTCTCGTTGGGGAAATGGAGAATCATATACATGTGTGCCAGAGATTGCCCCATTCCCAAATCCCCCCCCATCAGCAATTATTGTGAAATGAACATGTGCTCTAACGCCAGCCTTCACGAATTCAACAGCTTTCCCCGAAAAGATCGTTGCTAAATGAATGTGCGTATGTGTAAAACAAGATGCAAGAGTGGTTTGGAAATAGAGGTATTATATTCGGAGGTACAGGGTCAAGAACTCCACCGTTATTTTGCAATGCCCTCACAGTCCCTAACAGGATCCTTCACGCCATCAGCCCAGCCCGTTCCTAGTCATAGTGTGTCAGTGGTCGAAGATGAATTTTATTCCAAATATATGCGATACCTTCGTGAGGACAGATAGAGGTTTATATATAGGGGTCAGTGGTTGTGTCGCTCGAACTAATGGGAGTTGAGAATCCGAGGCAGACCCCTGATCTACAGATGACTTTGATGCCTTTGCAAAGACGAGCACAACACCGCTCCCATCTCAAATACACACAGACAAGGAGTACAGTAACCCTTTTTTTTTAAAAAAAGCGCAATCTCCTGTATCAATTCGATTCTAATTCTATTCCAGCTTCTCCGGAAGGGGAAAAAGTTTCAGTTCCTTGGATTTGCTTCTCGTTTTCCCCTCCCCGACACACACACACACACTCGCACATTTCAAAAGTTTATACCAGGAGATCCGAGAATAAAATATACTGTATGTCACCAATGACGAAACGCCGTCAATTCATGTCAATGGATTTGGGTCCCACCGAGAGCTGAGAGTGTGGTTCTCGTACATCGCAGAGCAGAGCAGAGCTGGAGATAGTTCAACACTGTCTCTTTCAACAACTGTGAGCAGCCGAGCGGACATTAAACTAAACTGATCCCTTACACATTTTGCCACCGAAAGAAACTCGGGGACAAACAAGGCAGAGAGACTGTGGCTGCAGTCAGGGAGCGCAGCTTTAACAGCAGCTTTACACTGTGTCTGACTTCACACCAGTGCGCTGTGAGGTGACTCCGGTTCCTTCAGAGCTCAATTCCTTTGCAGGTCGTAAATGCCGACTGGAAAGTTTTTTTTTGAAAAAAAACACACAAAATAAAAACAAGTAGCACAAACGTACGCGGTGATCCATGTACTGTACTTTGGTGTCTATCTGCAGCTCCGGTCACTTTTCGGATCCTAAACGATGCCGTCTGTCCCTCCCTCCGAAATACAGCGTCTAAATTCTCAGATGCGCCTCGTTGCATTCCTGTAGCTAAAGTGTGTCTGCACTGACTGCACGGCAGCCTCCTGTCTAAATCTTTCGAAATATTCTTAGAAACCTTCCATTTGACGATGATTTTGCCCTTGACATATTATGCAAGTGAGTTTCCTCCACCTCCGCTCTGACTAATTGAGTAATGACGAGGAAATGTTTCAAAACGTAAAAAAATATTTACGAATGTTTCATCGAGCCCAGTGTTTTCTAACAGAGAACACTGACACACTGTCTTTCGGGGGTGGGGGGTGGTGGTGGTGGTGGGGGGGGGGGGGGGGGTTAATGCAAACTACAGACAGAGCGAAGTCGTTCCTTTTGTTGTTGTTATCGAGCGAATTAATCTCTCTTTTGCAGTTAGCGAAACGTATCTGGATTCAATTAGCTCTGCAGCTCCAGACAGGTTTGAGACAAGAGTAAATTATATTAAGAAGAAGAATGACCGACCTGGAAAGTGTTGAGTATCTCAGGTAAGTGAGGCGAGATGATAAGGTCAGGACCATGCCCGCCCTGCACTTGTGATGGATCGGCTGGTCCTCCAGAGGTCTGGGTCCTCTTTATCAAGAGGGAGATTGCAGGATTTGCTTATCCCCGCGTATTTCAATTGAGAGGGTCAAGTCGGCTGAATTTTTCACGAGTTAAACCCGAGTTTGGTGCGAGATCCGCATTGGAGTGTACAGTACAGCACTTGGGTTTCACTCTGTGCAGTGAAGCGAGGCGGGTCAGGTGTTAAGAGACAACTCGGGGGGTGTCAGCACCTGATAAAAGAATGGTGTCCAGTGCTGAGCACTATCGAGATGGCTGAGTGAAGAGAAACACGCCGATTTATCAGCAGAAGGTGCTTGTTTATGTTCCAGCTGCTTTCTGAAATGAGCCCCTTTTAAGATCATAACAACGTCAGTGTGTGGGGGAAATAAAGAGTAGCGACCTGTCATGGAAAACGACTACAGATCAATTGTATACTGGCAGAGCTCTGGGCTTTTGCACTCGATCGAGTACCTTTTTGCCGGTAAACAAAAAGGCAAAATACTTTTTTTTACGATGTTATTCAACTGAATAAATAGCAAGAGGAATTAATACACTATAAGTCAGGGGAATGGAAAGCTAACGCCCTTTGAGGGAAGTGCAAAGCCGCTGGTGGTTGGTTTATGCGCATTGCCAGGAACACGTTCGATATTCCTGCCCAGGAACTTCTTTAAAAAAAAGCAATTACAAATAAAGGTTTTTGCTGTTTTAATTTAATCTTACTATTTAAAAATATAAATTTTGTTCGACTGTAATGTGCAAGCAAATCCGAAAGCATTTATTTTCCATTATGTGTAGCCTGGCCGCTGATTCAGGTATAGTTTGGTGTAACGAGAGGTTTGCTTGCAATCCGATAACTGTCTGCACATGTACCTCTCATCCTCCTATTTTACTTGAAATGAATTCCTTCAGTCAACCCACTTAAACACTCCAAGTGTTTCCTGCATCTGTTAGTTTTGGTCAATAATGGAAGGCAGCCACATAACCGCATGTTTATGGAAAGTACGTCTTGGTGCGGATAAGAGGGTATTTAATACCTGATCATGTGCTTTCATTTACTGATATGGTTAAAAAGGGACAACGGCACAAGCGAAAATAATCTGAAATCGGTTTAACTGGCTGAATCTTCACTTGGGCGGGTTTGGAAAAGAATAGCTTTTTTAAGAAAAAAATGCAACGAGAAATAACACAATTCTACAGTCACAAGCCATTATCCGGGACTATTCTCATTCAAGAATGTTTTTCTTGGCCTCTTTCATCTCATTAGCCAGAGACAACAGAATTGGGGATGATAGGTGGAAGGCTGCACAAAGCTTGGGTGTGGTATGGATTGAATCAGATCTTCGAGATAGAGTGAAAAGTGTCTATAGACCTTGATGAATAGTTCCCAGCAGATGGGATACAATACCTGATTCAGTGCAGGAACGTTTATTGTGGCTTTTTGAAGACAATGCATGCACACTTTACTGCTCCCACAACATAAGCAGCTCATTAGATAGGTGATAGGGGGGTTTACACTTTGTTTCTACTAAAGCACCTTTTGAATGAGTCGGGTTCGGTCGGCTATTTACCGCCCCCCCCCCTCGCATACCTCCACGTTAGCCCGTGGGTCCTCAATTTCTGCAATCAGAAACAATTTGCACCGAATTTCTTTTGAGAATGGCCCTCATTGCTCGTTCTCGAGGCACACATATCGACATTCCCAGCCTGGCTCCCGCATGCCTCCCTTTTCATTTTTACTCGATTGCACGATGTTCATTTAAATCCATGTGACCCGATCCCGTTGATATCAAAAATATCAGATCCAACGATGTAGTTTTTCTGTCTCAACTGAAAATGCAGCAGGCGATAAAACTTAAAAAGCAACACAGAAAATGCCCCGATTTGAGTAGGTCGCACAATACGGGAGCACATGGTATGCCTCCTTATAAGACAGTGTATAATACTTCGAGCACAGTTATTTGCAGATCAGGCATTTCGATCGCCAGGTAAGCTTTGCGAGAGAAAGTATGATTTTCCAGGTTGCTTTTCAATAAAAATATTTTTTTTCTGTACGATTTAAAACAGGATTTTTTTTAGTCACTCCACAATTTGTCCGTGGGCTGATGGAGGGTTACAGGACAATGCGGTTTGTTTGTTTACATAGTTGGCCTATTTTCCCAAGCTATTAGTCTTTTGTGCCCCTGGAACAATTAATAAGCAGCTTCTATGTTTGACTGGCCACCTAAAAGCACACGCATCCTCTCCTCGCTTCACCTGATGCCCAACTCCTCTTTTAGTAGCTAATAATCCTAATATTAATCCTTGCATTTGATATGGCGCTTTTCATGTGTTCTAAACATCTCAAAGCGCTTCACAGAAAAATACTGTAAAGTGAATTGACTGTATATTTGTGGGCGAAATGCGGCAGCCGATTGAGTGACCAAATTTTTTTTTGAGGATTATTATCTCCAGAAAAGCTATCCGCCAATCGACTAACAATCGGGTTCCTACTTACTGTCAGGTAAACAGAGGTGTGTGGAGTAAGGAAACTTGCCCAACATTTCACCCTGCTGGGAATCGAACCCAGGCTTGCAAGCTGAGTGCTCTAATGCTTGGATTTAATGCACACAAATTATAGACAGTATATAATACATCAAAAATCTACTCATCCCTATTTCCATCACTTTACTTCCAGTGCAATAGTCACCCCATTAAAAGGAATGGAAGAGCAGAGAGGCTTGAGGGTTCATATGCATCTTTGATCACCTATGGTCAACCCCTTTCCCCCTTCTTCCTTTTTGGGTGTCAGTCCAACTCAGCCACTGTGCAGTGTTCCCAAACACTATTCCTGCAGGCAGAGATAGAATTATACAGCACAGAAGGAGGCCATTCGGCC